ATACCACCACTCCTCGTACCACCCCAGTGATCGGCCCACCCCACCTCCACCCCTTCACCCCCTACCTGCACCAGCGGCGACAGCTCCAGCTCCGGGAACGTGGTCGGGTGTCGGGCGGGCAGGTGCAGAAACAGCATGCGGGTGACTGTGGGGTCCATGGAGCCCCGCCGCTGGGCCGCCATACCCACCAGTACGGCAATGGTGGTAGGGTCGTGCTCGTCACTCAGGTACCTGACGGAATGGATATATAGACAGACAGACAACAGACAGACAGACAGACAGGCAAATAACGCTTAAGAGATACGGTGGGGGATTAACTCGTTTTCCACCAGGCAGTTGCGTCAGAAGACATGCGTTCGAAAAGCGAGGGGGAAGTAGGACACATACATACAGACGTACAGATGTACAAACAGACAGACAGACTGACAAACACGTGGGCACGATATTGTTGGCAAGTACACGTACACACGACAGGCTGAGCCTCCTCCCAACATATGGACCGACTGCTGGTGTCCCATCCTCTCCATTTCCCCCCCCCCTTCTAACACACGTACACACAGACGTACATACACACACAGGCGTACCTGTACAGATCTGTCCAAGACAGCCGGTCCAGATGCCCCGTGAGACCTAGCGCCATGAGCAGCCCCGCGTGTGTGTATGAGGGCACGTCGGGTTTGGTGGCCACCTGCATCCATGTACGACTGAGCGACTCTCCACCGCCACCCGAGGATAGCCGCAACCCCTCCGCAGCGCCTGAAGAGTAGGGGAACGGGGAACGGGGAACGGGGACGAGAGCGAAAAGGAGGTAGCGAATGGATGGGTGTGGGGGGAGAGGCTTTAGACGTAGGAATTGGAAAGAGGAAAGGAAAAGCCACAATGGCAAGGGAAGGGTTTGAGGGTTCAAGGTTAAGGCACGCGCCATCCTGAACACGCCAGACGGGAGGTTACAAGGTAAGACAGGGCGCCAAGACAAGGGGCTGGCTGGTGCGTTTGTGGGAAGACCGGACCCAAACAGACCCCACTCTCACCCAGTGTGCACGTATGTATGTATGTACGTGTGTATGTACAAAATTGTGCTCTTCCCGGCCCGTTAGGAGGCCGTTTCCGTACCGTTGTGGAACTCTGGCCAGGCGGTGAAGTCCGCTGCCGCGCCGCCTCCCGGTGCCGGCTGGGCCGTGGAGAGGTCCAGATTCACCACGGTATGGCCCGCCAGGGAATCGGGCACAAGGCCCGCGAGGCACATGGAGGGTACGGCAGTGGTGGGTTCCGTGGGAAGTGGCCGACCTGGAAGCAGGTCGAGAAGGTCGAGGAGGAGGGGTGGTGGGGGAAAGACGAACCACACGCGATTGAAGATTGAGGGGTGGTGGGGGGGGATAAGAGGGGTGGGAGGTGGGGGGGAAGAAGGAGGAGCGGAGGGACGGGGAGAGGGGAGTGTGGAGCGGGCGTCGCCAGGTACGGAGGACTTGTGCCCAGCAGGGGTCAGAACAGCTTTCTAACCCTCCTTCTCTCCCCCTCTCTTCCCTTCTCTCTCCCCTTCTCTCTTCCCCTCCCCTCTTCCACCCTCTCTCCCCCTCTCTTTCCCCTTCTCTCCCTCTAAATGCCGGTCAAGGAATTCACACAACCCCAGCTCGACTCTCCCCTCCATTTCCCCGCACGTCGTAACCCTACCATATCCCGCTGTGCACACACCTTGCCCGTTAACAACAGATCCCTTCATGTCGAGGGACTTCCGCATTTGCGCTATATATAGCCCAGCCAGGGTCGTTACCGGCCCCAAACACAATTCCTCACCGTGGCCCCGCACCCGCCCACCTACCTCGGCCCCCCACCTCTTCCCCCTTCCCACGAAGCCCCCTGGGGCCCCCGACATTTGCATATGTTTTTTCCTCCGCGCCCTCCCCCCTAACCACACACCCGTCGCCAGCGCCACCGCCCCACGCCCCAGCGGCAGTGACATGGTCCTCAGAGCCGCCGCCAGGAGCTGCTGTTGCTGCTTCGTGGGGGCATCCGGATCGGACTCGTGCAGCCCAAGACCATCAAGCACCAGAGGGTGGCTGCTGTCCAGGGCGGAGATGACGTCACGAAGGCGGCTGTCACGGCCGAACCGCAACCGGCTAACACCTTTTCCATGTGTGGCGGAGGGAAGGGGAAGGGAACGGGGGAAGACGGGAGGGGAAATGGCGGGTGACGGAAATCTACCGTTAAGGATGCGTCTGTGTAGCGTGTAGCGTGTATGTATGTATCTATGTATGTACGTATGTATGTATGTATGTATCCATGTAAGGGCCGAGGTGGGGAGGGCGCCCATGGGTTCAGTGGGTGCATGGGGCCACAAAAGGAACCCAAAACTTACAATTATACATATATACACATGAAAAAGGAAAGCGAGCGATAAACCATCAGAGACACAGGGAATGTCTCCTCCGCTAACGGACAAAAAGCAGAACATATCGTCCCCATGTAGCTCGGCATTGAGGTTCCGTACCTCGCGTAAGGCCCTCCATGCCGTGCTTGCTCTCAAACTGCTTGGCAGGCCCCTCCAACTTCCGCGGCGCCTCCAGCTCCACCCCAAGGTCCAATTGGTGGCTAGGAAGCTGGAGACGCGCCGTGTAAGCCGGACGCCAGAGGTGCCAAAGATGCGACGGTGGCGGCCGCGGCGGTGGCGGCGATAAAGGTCGGTACTGAAGGAGGGCCGGCGGACCGGCGGCTCCACCGCCGCTACCGTTGGAAACGTACGACACGGAGCTGCGCGTGGCGCCCGTCGTGAGCCTTGCGTACGGCCCGTACGGCGTGAAGCCAGTGCACGGCGTGACGGCGGCGAGAGAGAACTGCGGAAGTTGGCGGAAGGAGAACAAGGACGAGGAGGGGCTGCCGCCGCCGCGGCCGCCGCCGCCACCGCCGGCGGTGCTGGCGCTGTTCGGTTCCGACCCAGCACCCTCGCCGCCGCCGACGGCCGCCGTGACCGATGTCGGCGTCACCACGCCACCCTGCTGCGCCTCAGACCCGGGGTGCGACGTACGGAGCCCCGGAAGGTGCCCTAGAAAGGCAGCGAAGCTCGCCGGCGGCGGCGCAGTAGCTGCCGTACCGTGCTGCTGCTGCTGCCGTTGCTGCGCCTCCTGCTGCTGCGAAGGACCAAGGCTGTGCTGAAGCTGATGCAAGGGCTGGTTATGGTTGTAGCCATGAGCATGTAGTTGTCCCTGTTTGTGTTTGTCGGCGGCAGTAGCACTGGCAGTG